CTAGTCCCAGCTCGAGGAGAGGCAAAGTGGGTAACTAGTCCGCTACAAAATGGTATGAATTCCCTTCCTGACTCTGGAGATGAGGAATCTGTGGTGAGGTAGGGTGAGGGCTCTGGGTTAGGTGAGAGCCATGCTAGTCCTCAGGGATGCTTCTGAGGCCCACATCAACTCCCCAGAAACTGAGAAGGTACACCCACCATTGCCGGGGGCAGGGCAATGTGACAGAAAGAGCACGAGGCTTGAAGTCATAAGACCTGAGTTTGATCCTGATTTTGTATGGACTGGCTGTGCATCTCTGGGTACATTTCTTTCCTGTCCTGAACAGATGGAATGCTCCATCCCCTGGGCAGCCCTGCACGAACCCTGACCCAGATCACCGGCGGGGCAGCCCCTGACACCTAGGATCTACTCCAGAAAGTGAGCTGCACAGAATATTCTTAGCGTCTTTAGCTCCTGCTTGTTGAGGGTTTGGTGGGGTTGACAAAGGAAGAGCCATTCAGGTTTTGCATTTTTTTCTACCTCAAGCCATCCTAGAGGAATTATTGTTACTCTTATTCTCCTTTTTTTGCCTTTCCGAGGGGGATTTTGCTATTGAATTTAATAAACTGTTAAAACACAGGAGTCACGAAGTTCCTGTCTTCTTCCATCTGGAAGTCCTGTTTGTCTGCCCGTGGGGAGGGAGTGAGGCCAGCTTGACCAAGCCCCATCAGCACAGCCAGGACACTCACTGTGGGTTACACCGAGATGCTGGAGAATGCCCCGCCAGCCAAATCCCTGGGAAAGGATGGGCCCTGTGTCCAGGAATGGTCACCAGCAGCCCGGAAAGCCTTACAAAATCAACCAGAGTGCAATTCGCTGAACAACTCCCTCGCCTCCAGCCTTGGGGGCCCTGCCTGCATAGCGGGCTCCTCCTCAGCGGGCCTTTGAGCAGAACTTAACAGGTGGCAGAAGGCAATTCCAGATGCCAGCCTCCTCTCCCACGTTCCTCTGGCCACATTTGCTGGTTTTAATGACACGGAGCTGAGGTCTCCTTCCCTGCAGGCCAGATAGCCTATGCCGACATGGAGGAGGCCCTCTGGTCGCCTTCTGCTCCCATCTCAGCAGCTCCTAGCCGCTAATGAAAGCTTTTATCACCACAGGGCTGATGCCAGGAGTAGAAAGGACCGGCTGTGCGCCAGCCCTAGCGTGTGTGTGCCTGCGTGTTCGCACGCGTGTGCAGGGAGAGCTCAGAGGCGGCTGCAGCTTTGGCAGGATCAGAAGACCAGTAGCCAGGAATTGGCCTGCCCTAGGCTGTCATCACAAATTAAGTGGCTCACGTGCCGCTTCCTGTGTCCCTTTCATTCCTGCAGCTCATAGATGAAAAACTACTTCCATGTTTTGGAGCGGGGAGGAGACTGAGGGAAGCCCATTTCCCCGCCCGCCCCCCCAGCCTTGTTCTGTCCTGAGAACATGGCATAAACTATTCTAGTCACAGGCAGGCTATTCAAATAAAATAGAACTTCAAGCCACACCAGGCTTGTTGAGACATTCAGGCTTCTAGGATGTGTGAAAGGCAGGGGAGGGGTGGAGACGGCCCCTGACACTCTCCCGTCCTTTTTATTACCAGCAGCTGCAATGCTAAACACATCCCAGTGTGTCTCCCAGCCACAGCAGAGGCCAGCCGTTCTGACAGCAAGCGAGCGCAGGAAAGCCACCGTGAGGCTCCCCTCCCCAGAGGCAACTTTAATTATTTGAACTGGAGCTCAGCAAAATAAAAATAAAATAAAATCGGAATATATCATAAGTGGTGCCTCACTTTCCCGCAGGGAATAGCTGGTGGTAGGTGGGCGGGGCAGGGCTGGGCGGAAATCTTTAAATATTCAAGCCCCTCGTGCAAGCGTGCAGGCCGGGGTGGATGCAGTGTGTGCACCGAGAGCAGACGGTGGAGAGAGGCGGCTGGCTGCGGTGCTGCAGGGGTCTGGAGGGAGGAGGCCGGAGCTGGAAGGCTTCTGAGTGCTCTGCAAGCTGGCTGGCACAAAGACACACCCTGGCTCTGTCTCCATCGTCGGTGGGCACCTGACCCGGCTCCACGCGGGCTCTGAGAGGTGCTCTCCCAGCCCCTTCTGTCTCTACCACGTCTGTCCCCCACCCTGTCATTTCTGCCCCCTCCTGTGACTCATCTTTCTAAAAGGCAAAGCACACCACATTCTTTGGAGTCCCAGGTAATGGAGGACAACTCTCAGCATGGGCTCAGAATGAATTTCGGTCACAACTGGCAAGGACGCCTATGGCCAGTCACTCTTAAGTCTCAGTGTACATCCAAATCACCAAGTGTGGGGTTTGAAAATGCAGATCCCCGGGCCCCTGTCAGTTACATCATTCAGGATGTCTGGGGTGGGTCTCAAGAATCTGCATTTGTCATGTTTTCCAAGTGACCGCAGCTGGAGAAACCTAGGCCTACTAGTTCGCTTACAGCTAGATTTTCAAGGAAAGGCATTGAAGGCGACACCAATTCCCCTATGGAACCCACTGACGACTGTGGGGTTTCTTGGGGTATTTTGAGCTATTCTGCAATTACTTCAGCTCCCTGGAGGCCATGGACCAGGACTGTTAGGGTTTAGAGAAGATGCTCAGTGGTGGGTGTCAGCCTGGAGTTCAGCTCAGCCAGCCGCCTGCTCCCGTGGGCCCGCCCCTCATCAGAGACCTTCACCCCTGGCTCTATCCGGTGTCCGCCTTCCTGCACTAGGGCCCCACAGCCATCGGAGGCCTCTTTAGGGCTGGGGGGTTAACCTCACACAGTCTCACACAGCAATGCAACATCCGTTTCCCCGTCGCTGACATTCAGCCAGCCGGAGAGATGGAAATCAACTTCCTGCCTTCGGCATTTAGGACTCGAGTGAAATAGGCGCCAGGGCTTACGAACCTGGAAATGCATATTTCTATCTTGGTCATTTATTTTTCTGATGAAAACATTCCCCCAACGTTGGGAATTCAAAGACCCACCGGCCTGAGGTGAATAGTCTGAAGCCTGAATGCGAAACAACTGAGCTGATTGCGGACTGGACTCGTTGCTTTCCCTTCACTCCTTGTGCTGAGCCAAGTTCTGGAAAAGGGCAGGAAATAACGGAAACCGCCCAGAGCAAATGTGACTGGAGGAATCATAGAACAGGCCAGTAGAACAAAACAACTGTTTAAGCTATTGATCAACCCAAAGGTTATCAGAGAAATGATGAAGTATTAGAAAAATACCAGTTTTACCTTGACATTTCTTTTTCTGAAATCAGCCTCATATTAAATCCAGTGAAGAATAAATTCCAAGATGAAATGCTTTTAAGGATCCCCCTCACCTCTCAGATGGGCCAACCAACTCTCCTCATTTAGATTTCCGCTTAAGAAGCCTCCCTTTCCAGGTGCTGCTCTGCGGCAGCCGAGGAGTATCGATGATGACTGAGTAACTCCATCATCCACACCGGAAAGCGTGGCTTCTCAAATGCGATTTAACATGATGACTCTATCTATTTGTGCCCTGACTTCTTCAAGAAAGGATTTAAGGTGGCTCACAGAGAATCACAAAACCTAGTCAGGTAACATAAACTAGGAGAGGGTAAGGAAGATGGGGCAAACGTAGAGTTATAAAATTGAACCAGGAGTAAGGCTGCTACAAACTACACATCATGAACCCCTATTTGCCTACTGGGTAAAGCCTCAGATTTAATCTGACCATTCTTCTGATTAAAAAAAAAATCACTGATACATCTTTTCCATTCATTTTTTTTTTTTTATGTTTGTGGGTTTTTATTTCACAAAAAGCCTGGAGGGCTTGAATTTGCCTGTACCCCTAAGCAGGGGGAGGCTCTTTCCTGCATCTCTGCTGGTCAAAGCCCCACCTGCCTGGGATTGCTGGCAGCCCCTCAGAGGGGAAGTGAATCTAGTCAGTTTCACAATGCCCACTATTTCAAAGGGAACAAATTGCTCCAAGGGCACAGAGCCTTTCCTGAAATGAAGCCAGAAAGGTGTTTCACCTATGAGTTTCCAGAAAGAGAGGACAGACGAATCTAAACTCTGCTGGCTTTCTACTGTGTGCAAGGTGTTGACGCAGTGCTTGGTGGGAGTGCAAAGAAGCACAGGCACGGCACGGCTCTCCAAGAGCATGGAGGCAGGTTTTTGGCTAAGTCCTCTTCCTCTCCCCCTTTCTCCTTTGCATAATTATACAGGGTACCAGAGACTGTTAGTTAACTATTGTAGTACCTACGTTGTGCCAGACCTTGTGATAAGCCCTTTACATATATTAACCTATTTAAGCCTCACCTCCTTGGGGTAGGCACTCTTATTGTCTCTACTTTCCAGGTGGGGAAACTGTGGTCCTGAGAGGTTATTAGCTGATCAAACAAACTGTACAGCCAGTCAGTGATGGAAACTGACTTGGACTTAGGTAGTTGATTCCAGAGTCCACGAGCTTAATCACTGGGCCCTGTTGGGGTCTAGCACATCTCCTGGTCCCTAGAGAATGTGACCTTGCGTTAAGAATCATGGCACCTTCAGTCTTCACATTAAAGAGGTAACAGCTACACGAACCATTTGGTTAAGTGGCTCTGGAGGTACCTCACTGAATGCCATTGATGCCTTAGAGAAATTTATGTAAGTCAAAGTTTTGATGTTCTATAATATTTAAAATGTATTATAAGAGATTGACATTTTTAAAAGGATTCTGTAGCAAGTCGCTGTTACCCTCCCCTGCTGTGCCTTGGAAATGCTTTTTGGTTTTGTTTAAATCAAGGTCCTACTGCAAATGGTTCAGTGAAGCTGAGTATGGTGTTTAAGGTAAGATTCTCTGCAGATGGGACTTTACCCCGTTGGTGGGTACTGTCTGCCTAGAAGTTGGCTCACATGGCCCTCTTGTCCTCCTGCAGGAGAACAAGCGGCCCGACCGTCAGGCTACTTTGCTCATCTGTGTGGGTTCATCTGGAAGTGCCCAGAGGTGGGAGCAGAAGGCAGAGGACTAGAGGAACAGTGAGGCTTGCCTCGCATGGAGAGCTCTTCATCGGTGCGGGGAACGCAGCGCTGGTCACCGTAGCACTTTCAGAGGTGGGGGCATCGGTGGTGCTGAGCAACAGGGCGTGGCCTGGGCAGAGAGGAAAAGAGTCAAAGACGCACCATCCTCGCACACTGAAGGGCCTCGGGGTGCAGGGTTAATGGGCCCTGCACCATGCTTCTCTAGCCTCAGGATATCTCTAAGGATACAGGTTTTCTGCGGCCTCTAATGGAGAAGACAGCCTGCTGACCACTGTCTACAAAACTTGGCTCATGCAAAGGTCTTCATTCCAAATGGCCTGCAATGTCCCAGCACCATACATCTGGGTTACTGCATCCTTGATCTCCCAAGGTCACCAGCTTTAGCTCCTAGCCCGGGAGCAGCCTGAAGTATGCCGGACTCCCCCAGGCCCACCCCTGCCCCCCGTATCCAGTCATGCCAGCGCTTTGCCCTCCAATGGTCTCTAAACCTTCACTGTCTTCTCCCCTCTCCGGAGCCCAGGTCATCCTGTGCCCCATGCCCTGACCAGGGAGACTCATTTATTGTTTTCTAAGCACTGATCTGCCTGAAAACCTGGCAGAACATGAGCCCCAGCCCCACGTGGTGGTGGGAAGAAGAATCTGCAAACCTCCAGGAGTATTTTGTAGCTGGTAGGTGCTATGGAGATGGGGCCAGAGTGAGCTCACGACTTTTTAGGGGCCTCAGAGAACCCCAAGTAGGAATTCAGTCCTTCATTTCTATTTTTCTCTCTTAGCAAAGTCTTTATAGAGTTACTACCAAGTAACAAATTCAGGTGGGTCCAGAGCTGAGTAACTAGGCCAGGCCAGAAATCTTAGAAAGCACCCTGCCCATCCTTGAGGAGACATCAAGTGGCTGGGGTTATGTGACCCTGGAGAGAAAAGGCCTTTCGTGGTCGGTAGGTCATAATGGTTATCTTCAAATATCTGAAGGGCTGCCTCTGTGGGAGAGGGGTTCTGTGGGGTTCCAGGAGACAGAAATCAGGGCCAATGAGTAGAATTTACAGAGGGGTGGGGCTTGACGAAGAAAAGCGGTGTTTGATTCTGACCTGTTAAACAATGGAAAGGGCTACTTTTGGAGGCAGTGACAGCCCTGTCACTAGAGGTATTCAACAGAGCGGTGAGGAGGCCGGGAGGAGAAGCAGGCGCTCTTGGCCTCCATGTCTGGGGAGGGCCCTGCAGTGCTCCCCCGTGGTGCCATGACTCAGCCTCCGTTTTAACGGGGCCCAAAGCCAGCTCACTAGATGCAGCCAGCTCCGGGGACCGAGGACAGGACTGCACGGGCTCTGAGATACTCAGTGGTTGATCTGGACATTGTCTTCTCTCACATTTATCATTATTATGAATCCTTAAAGGAATCTGTAGGATGTATGATCGTTCCTTGGAAAGAGATAAATTTTGGTACAAGGGACTCTAGCTCCACAAAGAGCAGGTAAATACAGGGGAGGGGAAGGGAGAGAGACCCCCCTGCCCGCCATCCTGCAGAGAAGTGGGCCCCAGGGCCTGCTCAGGCCTAGCCGTTTTGTACAGACCTAGGATAGGCCCATGGCTGGGTGGTCTGGCCTCTCCAGTAGCCCAGCTCTTGGAGATATGCTGGCCTCACAGACCTCCTCTGATCCTGAGGCCAGTTCCTCCGGGCGTGGAGTCAGCCCAGCCCAGCATGGGTGGCATCTCTTGGGTGTGTGGAGGCCCTCTGCCCCTCTGGCAGTCAAGCAGGGACTCTAATGGGGGGAGGGTGGGAGTTGCCAGCTGCAGCTGGATGCGGGGTTGGGGGGGGTATGACTGAGGAAGGCGGGCCGCAGGCAATGGTCTAGATATGGGGCAAGGTTCCCCAGGCACAGTTCTGGGGCAAATGACGCAACGGCCTACCTGAGCCTTAGCCTCCCCAGTCATAAAGAGGGCTACAGTTTTCCTTATCTCTCAAGGATTTCTGTTCCTGAGGCATAATAGGTTTCAACAAACACTTGTTAAATGAATGGATTATTATTATTGTTGCTTTTATTCTTATCTTTCAGCTAATCCTTGATCAAAGTTCTCATTTTAAGGATCAAAAGGTGACATTAGCCTTGGCTTGACTCAATCATTCTAATGCTCAAGAGAGTGTGAAGAGGGAGTTGTGTAGGTGTACCCCAGGGCAGGTCCTTGGGGGAGGTCCAGTGCCTCTGGGGTGGTGCTCCAAGTCTGTTGTCTGGCCAGGTGGGCACCAGGGGAAGGGAAGAGAGGGTGGTACCTTGGTGGTCCTGGAACCGGGCATCCTTTAAGGTCCTGACTTGCCACTGGGGCGTGTGGGGTGACAGTGAGCTTTGGGTCCAGCCACAGAATCCATCCTCGAAGTTGCAGTAAAAACCAGCAGGGAGTTTACCTTCAGGGAGAGCACAGGGGTACAGTCATTTCCAGGACTGCTAAAGGCAAAATATGCCAACAGCAAGTAAAGTTAGCCAGGCATGACCATCGTTAATGATAGCTCCCCAGCCAGACCCTCAATGTCTAATCATGCTCATAGTGAAGAGAAGCCCAATCCCTAACACTGTACGTGTGCTGGTTTATACTTTTCTGATCTTCAGAAAATAATAATATGGGGTATTGCTAACCCAGTTTTATATATGAGAAAGCAGAGGTTCAGAGATGTTAAGCAACCTGACCAAGGTCACACAGCCGACAGGTAACCCAGCTGGGATTTGAACCCAGCTCTTCTGCTTTTAAATTCTGTGCTCTTTATACAGATCCACCACGAACATTATCCTAGAAAAGCCAGTGTATAACTCACTGAAATGCATTTCTAATGGCACGGTGATAAGAGTGTGGTGGTGGCAGTGGTAGTGTTGGCTGGGGGTTGGTTGGTTTGGTTCCCTCAAATCACCCCTGCGTGCAGAGACACATATTGCTCAAAACTATCTATTTGGTCCCCTTTATTTCCCAACCCCTTGCAGTTAAGTGAAGCCACATGGCTAGTTCTGGCCAATGGCATGTGAGTGGAAGTGTTGTGTGCATCTCCTGTGGATTGAGGCTGTGAAAAGGCCTGGTGTAATTTTCAGACTCTCTCTTCTGCTAAAGCAGCCAAGGAGAGTTCTCGTTCCTGGGGGTGCTGCTGCATGATGGTGGCACTTCTGCCAGCAGGAGAGATCCCAAGGAGTAGAGGCCCCTCCCACTGCAACCCTTAGTGGACAGGTACCGTAAATGTTATGTTAAGCCACGGAAATCTGGGGATGGTTTATTACTGCCGCATAACCTAGCCTATCCTGACTAAGCAATCCCAGTCCCTGGGGCCTCTTTATATGATCTGTTGGCTCAGCATAAAGGGCCCTGTTAACGCTTTTCTCTACATCAGCCCGACCTCGGGTCCCATTAAAGAGGTCACAGTCAGTTCTATACACCACATATTTCCCCACTGCCCACAGAAGGAGGAGGACAGGAGGAGAGGGGTAGAGTGAGATCCCTTGCTCCGGTTTACTTGGAGAATGGCTGCAGGGAAGGCTCTCAGCCCCGAGGAGCTAGTGGGCCATTCCAGGCGGCTACCCTGATAGTACCCAACAGCCCCGGCCAGGCCTGTCTCCACACAGCAGCTCTTGAGCCGGACCCACCCACCGCTCTCAGTGTCCTTCCTCTGTCTCAGCCTTCTTGGCAGCAGCAGGCTGACAAAGACGGCCCTACCGCTTCCTGGCTGTGACAGCACCTTAGTGAATTATTACTCATTTCTCCCTGATTCTCTGTGCATTTCACACAGAGGCAGAATTATAAATTAAAACAGGCTGTCACTGACTTTGAGCATCTCTTCCCATTTATACCCCCCTGAAGAAATCATCCCCCCTGCAAGCACTGCATGTTCCCCTGATTAAAAATCCAAAAACTAAGGAGATCTTTCTATTTTATTTTTTATGCCCCCCTCAAGGGATCTCACATTCACTTCTTTAGCAAAAACTAACTGGTAGCTGGAAGTGACCTTCCACAAAGCGTCCTTCACACATGTGCTTTAAACTGAACACTGTGATGGAAGATTCTAGCAGGCAACGGGCCCCTGGTAGAAGGAAGAGGCAGGGCTGAGCTGGGTCCTGCACAGTGTATCATTCCCTCCTTACCCTTTTAGGAGGTAGAGGCAGAGAACTTAGCCTGACTTATGGGTGTTGGTACCTCATCAGAACCGGACACCTGGGCTCTGGTCCTGGCCTCACTGCTTTCTGCTCTGTGACCTCAGGTAAGTCACTTCCTTCCTCAGAGCCTCAGCTCCCTCATCTATACAGTGGGGTAAGATTATTGTATGTTTTGCAGGGCTGTTTTGAGGACAAAGTAAGGGAGAGAGTGTGGAAACATTCTGCAAACAGAGTTGAGCAAACATAGAGGGGCGGTGGCATTATTAATGATCATTCATACCCGGGACAGGGAAACGTATCAGCAGGGGAGAGGCTGAAACTGCCAACACTGCCCTAGAGGGCAGAGACAGGTCCCTCAGCTGCCTCTCCGGAAATGCCTATGCCTCCCGCTGGGACAGGAATGAGGAAAGTCACCGGCACTCTCCACCTTCTGGAGGCCCGTCCTTGTCCCAGCTTGACAAAGCGTCCAGGGTGAGCTGGGAGTGGAAGCCCCTTTCTTTTTGGCTGACTGAATAAAAGGAGATGAGGCAGGCAAAAATAGTTAGGTCAATGGGCAATTTACGTGCCAATTAAAACCTTGAAGGGTGGGCAGGAGTGCCGAGAGGATTTCCAACACTGCAAGCACATCAGGGCATGTGCTCAGCAAGACCAGTCCTGAGGACGATGGTGGGGTGGGTACCAGCACCGAGCCCTTGGTAGATCAGGCCGGGTTGGGGAAATCGCTGTGAAGTCCACTGCTGGGCAGTGTTGGCGCCCAGTGTCGTGTCTAAGGTGTCACCCCCTTTGATCACCTGCTCAGTGCTTGGCACATTGTAGGACCTAAATACTTATTTGGGGAATGACATGGGAGTGGGTTCAGTCTCCTAACCCTTTGCCACTCAAATGTGGTCCAGGGACCAGTCACATCTGCATCACCTGTGAGACTGTTAGACCTGCAGAATCTCAGGTCTCTCCTCCCTACTTCCCGGCCTACTGAATCAGAATCTGCATTTTTAATACTCTCCAGGTGACTCCTTTGCACCTTAATGTCTGAGAAGCGCTGCTCTAACCCACCCCCTTCTTGGGCTGCAGCCAGTTATTCTGTTGGCTGGATGGTCAAATCGGCTGTGTGTGGGTCAATCAATCCCAGAACATTTGGCACTTACGACGCCTGATTCCACTCTAAGAGACACAAATAGATAGAGTCATAGAGATGTGACCTTAGCAGCAGCTGCCAGGAGCTGCCAAGTATAAACTCCAGGCCAAATGACACTACTTCTTTTCCTTCCTGTGTGACAACGTTGTTAACAATTTTTTTTTTTTTTTTTTTTTTGCGGTACGCGGGCCTCTCACTGCTGTTGCCTCTCCCGTTGCGGAGCACAGGCTCCGGACGCGCAGGCTCAGCGGCCATGGCTCACGGGCCCAGCCGCTCCGCGACATGTGGGATCCTCCCGGACCGGGGCACGAACCCGTGTCCCCTGCGTCGGCAGGTGGACTCTCAACCACTGTGCCACCAGGGAAGCCCCGCTGTTAACATTTTTGATAAATATGTGTTATACATTTCCTTGAAAATATAGAGTCATGGGAAAAGTGCTAGAAGAAATACATCAAAATATTATGGCTATCTCTGAATGTCTGAGAGGGAGGCTTATGGGCAATAATTATTTTCTCCTGTGTACTTCTTTCATTTTCCAAATGTTTTACAACCAACATGTTTTACTTTACAATAAAGAAATAAACTTAAAAAAAAAACCTGTTTTTGCCTGACAGGAAGCGTATGCCCACCAAACCGATGAGATTATTGAGTACGTGGAGGGGGACTGAGCTGCCTGCAATACTGAGAGAGTCAATGACCCATCCAAGGGATGAAGCGGGGCCACCTGACCCTTTTCTGGGGCACTGCATGCCGTCGAGGCCATTGCTCAGGACACACAGGGAACCTTGAAGACACCCTTCAGTGGGTTACAACATCCTGGAATGTAAACATGTATCGGCAATGTTTAATTAGAAAGAGAAGGTGTGCCGTGTATGGTGTGTGGGCTTGGAGGACGGGGTGTGAACGGATCGGATGGAGAACGGCAAGGGCAGTACCACCTCCATTTCAGGTCCCCTACTTATCCCAGCCAGAAATGTCCCACAAGGTTGCGTCTGATAATCTGAATGAAGCTTTAGTGTGTGCGTGTAATTCCTTCTAGAGAAAATGTGGAGAGCTGAGGCTGGGAGTTGACAGGATACAACCTATGTTTCCCCTCCAAATTCTAGCCGTGGCAGTTTTTGGTTGAAAACTCTCGCTCAAGATTACTGACGCTCATGGGGGTTCCTTAGAAGACCTGGACATCCCCAACAGGCTTAAAGTGACCACTGCTCAGAGAAAATGTTCTAACAGGTTCCAGACCACCTGGGAAGGATCAAGTGAGGTCAAGAGCGTTGTCCTTAATGCATCATGGGCATCAGCACGTCAGCGGGCATCATGTTCCAATTCGTATTAGAAACGAGGAAAGTGAGGCCTAGAGGGTGGAGACGAATGATCTGAGTATCCCCCAGAAGAGCCCTGGACCTTCCCTGCCTTTTCCTCGTCCCTTCATCCTGGGTAGATATGTAGTGAAGGCTGTGCTAGAAACTGCTGGAAACTCACGAAACAAGTGAAACTGGCTTGCAGTGATTAAGAGCATGGGCTTTGGAATCAGACTGGGTCTGAATCACTGCTCAGCCACTGGCCAGCAGTCTGGTCATGGACTAATCTGGTTCCTCATCTGTAAGATGGGCGTAATAGCATCACATAGGATTGCTGTGAGGGTGAAATAAGTTAACGCATGAAGAGTGTTTGGAGCAGCTCCTGGCATATAGAAAATGCTCAATAATGTTAGCTGTTACTATTATTATTGTTGTTGTTATTTTCATGCGGATGGTTTCCAGAATCAACATCAGCCAGTGTGGTAGGGAAAACAGCAAAAATGCCAGAGAGAGTGGGGTGCCCAAAAAGGAAAAGGATCCTTACTGAGTACTGCCAAGATCAGAGTGGCCAAAAGATTGGAATAATCCTCCTTCTAATTGAACTCCCCTTCCCTTCTAGTAACCGATTTCTGTAGCAAAGAGCTCCATGGGGGTGTTCTTCAGGGCGGAGTGGTCATTCTGACAGCTGGTCAGAACAGCTTTTCAAGTGTGGCTGAAAAGCCTTCTGGGCTCCAGGCGCCTGCCTTCCTTACTGGGACCAGGCTGCCCTCAAGCTTGGAGTTGGCTCTGAAAACACATTAATGGCAAGCCCCGAAACGGTGGGAAAGTGCCCTAAGTCCACAATAATGGGCTGGATCCTGCAGGCTCCAAGCTCTAATCATGGCTCTGTTCCTGACATGCTGTGTGACCCTGAACAAATCAATTACCTTCTCTGTGCTTTCATTTCCCCAGTTGTAAATCAGGACATGGACTCCCTGACCTGTGTCTCAGCTGGGAAGTGGGTATCAAAAACTTTAAAAAGGCCAAAGCAAGGTCACACAGCTCAGAGGCACTGTTGGAAATAATACAGAGACAAATAACTAGAGAGACATACAGACAGGTCCCTGTCCAGGGCAACATGGGCAGGCCTAGCTTCCTCTTGGTCCATGTGTGTAGTGAGAGCTCCGAGAGGAAGCCAGGAGCAGAACAGTGCGGAATAAGCAAAGGGCTTTACCTGCAACTCTTTACTGAGCTTTATCTGAACAACTACTATTCCATGATTATTGGAAAACTTCATTGGAAAGTTTTGTATAAAAAGGACGATTTTCAAATTGAAAAATGGATTTCTTTATAGTTTCATTTAAAAGGGAATAAATAAAACCTTTCTTTCCCTAAGGGAAGATCTGTCCTCCAAATGACCTGGGGGACACTGTTACCTTCTTAAAAGCTATTTGGCAGGTCACAGCATCTTGGGGCCGGTGTATCTGAGGGGAGGGGCATTTGTTGGGTGTCCGAGCTCCACAGCACCCCAGGCTGCTGCATCCTTTCCCAACCACAACAGCTTTGTTTCACTCCCTGCCCCTGTGTTGGATTTACAGCACTACAAGGACGGATGCCGTGTTACTTGTCCCTGCTCCAGGATCTAGTTTACTTTTTAGCTCATTATATGTGTGTGCTAGAAGTGTCCGTGGTTTCCCTGGAGAAAACTTCTAGAGTGTTTACTCCTTGCCAGGGAGCAGCTGAGGACACTGTCTTCAAGTGGAGGGAGCATTGTGCTGGGAGTCTAATTCTGCCCCTAACTACCAGTGTGACCTCAGCAACCGGCTTCCTCTAGGGAACCCAGGCTTCCCAACCCATTTATTCATTTTGATCAACAAAGAGTCAATGAGCACCTATGCTGTGCCAGAAATCGTTTGAGATCTTGGTATGGGGAAGAGTACCAGGCCCACTCTGTCCACAGTGAGGGAGAGAGACATGGAAGCCACCTCCATGAAATGTGATGGATGCACACCCACTAGGATAGCTAACATAAAAAGGCAGATAGGGCTTCCCTGGTGGCGCAGTGGTTGGGAGTCCGCTTGCCGATGCAGGGGACGTGGGTTCGCGCCCCGGTCTGGGAAGATCCCACATGATCCCACAAGATCCCACAAGATCCCCGGGAAAAGCCCTCTCACGGCTGGGCCCGTGAGCCATGGCCGCTGAGCCTGCACGTCCGGAGCCTGTGCTCCGCGATGGGAGAGGCCACAACAGTGAGAGGCCCGCGTACCGCAAAAAAAAAAAAAAAAAAAGGCAGATAAAGAGTAAGTTTTGCTGAGGATATGGAGAAATGGGAATCCTTACACAATACTGGTGGGACTGTCAGATGGTATAGCCATTCTGGAAAGCAGCTTGGAAGTTCCTCCAAATGTTAAATATAGAGTCACCATCCGACCCAGCAATTCTACTCCTAGGTAGGAAATTTCATTTCCAAGAGAAATGAAAACATCTGTCTACACAAAAACTCATACATGAATGTTCACAGCAGCATTTTTCATAATAGCCCAAAAGTGGAAACAACCCAAATGCCCATCCGTTGATGAATGGATAAACAAAATGTGGTACAGCCATACAATGAAATATTTTTTGGCGATAAAAAGAAATGAAGTACTGATATATTCTACAGCACGGATGGGCCTCAAAAACATTGTGCTAAGTGAAAGAAGTTAATCATAAAAGACCTCATATTATATGATTCCATTTATATGAAATGCCCATCTGTAGAAACAGTAAGTAGATTAGTGGTTACTTAGGGCTAGGCAGTGGGTGAGGGGGTCGGTGGGGGGGAGGGATTGGAGGTACATGAGGAGAGATTGCGAGGGGTTTCTTTTTGGAGTGATAAAAATGTTCGAAAATTAGATTGTGGTGATGGTTGCTCAGTTGTGACTACACTAAATCGTACACTTTAAATGAGTGAATTGTATGGTATGTAAATTATATCTTTAAAAACCTGTTAAAAAGTAATGAATGTTATGGTGCATGGATTCCAGGGGGCGGGTTCCAGAGGGAGAAGAACCAACTATACTTGTGGGAAATGGTCAGAAGAGGCTTCCCAGAAGGATTGACTCTTGAGGTGAGTCTTGAAGGAGCAGATATGACTTAAGATGGGAAAGGGCATTCTGGGGAAGGGATAGGACACAAACAAAGCCAGGGAGGTGTGAGGGAGCTGAGAGGTGGTTTGACATGGCTGGAGCTGGGGTACATGGAAGGTTGCGGGGAGGAGGGAGGCAGGTAGGTGATGAAAGAAAGGCTTAAAATGTGATGGAGGTCCTGGCGTAGAGGGCTTCTCATGTCACGTTAGAGTTGGGCTTTAGTCTGCACTTTTTCTCTATACATGAGGCTGTTGAGAGCAAAACTTATAAGATCTTGCTTGGTTCTTAATTATATGCTGTTTCTAGACCATGGGTCTTAGCCCTGTCTTTTGAAGACTGTGTAGCTTTTGAAAGTTGCCACCAGAAGGACACAAGTGGCCCTGGTCATAAGGGAGGTCATTCAAGCCTCTGATGGTGGGGGAAGGAGGGCATGTGGGCATGGGTGGGGCAGGGCAGGCGAAGAAGCCCTATTTACTCACTGCACAGCTGGCCCTCATCTTCTCCCTGGGCACAGTCGCGGTGGAAGTCGCAGGCCTGTCCGAGCTGGAGGACTGTTCCGTTCCAGCAAGTGAAGGAACTCTGCAAGGCCATCTTGGAGCCCGGGGATGTTCCTGGAGAGCACACAGAGACACATGACACTGGTCAGCTTGGGTGGCCCCGTGGGAAGGCTGCGGGGAGAGCATCCCTCCCACGCCGTTCACATCTCAAGGTCTGAGACTACCCCATTTTAATCTGGCCGAAACCAGGGTCAACACCAGGAGGCTAAGAGGAAGTCAAAGCCCTAACCCCCCGGCCCCCTGGCTGTGATGTGAGTAGTAGAGTGGCCCGAGGTTTGAGCCATGTTCCCCAACACTTTGGGGTCCTCCAACCCATGGCTTTAGTGTGCCCGGTGGACAGCTACAGGTGGAGTCTCATCTGCACAGACAGCTTTCCCCTGAAGGTCAAATTTGGGGTACCAACAGGCATATCTGGTCCAGTATATCGTCCCCATGCTCTTGACCCCAGATTCCACCACTGGAGTGACTAAAACACACAGCACTTCCTGTTTTGAAATGAAAAGAACGCCGTCGTAAGAGCAGGGCTCTGGGCCCTGGATCGGCTCCTCCATGAATGGCTGTGTGATGCTGACCCTGTTCCTTCTCTTTCTGGCCCCCTGTCTCCCCATCTACAAAAGGAGGGGTTTTGATGGTATTTCCAAGGTCTTGTCCAATTCTGAAATTCTTAGATAAGTCATATTATCCAGTGGAGGAAGGGAGAGGGGGCAGTTTATAGCAAACATATTAGCAGGTATTTGCTTTTGTATCAAGAATGATGAGTTATGATAATTTATTAACCTGGGACCTCAGAGAGCCAAGCTTCAGCTGGCCTGGCCCAGCCTGCCTACTGAATGGGTCCCTTGCCTGGGGACCGCCTAGCAAGGGCCTGGCTGGTGTTTCTGACTGTGCCTCCTGATACCCAGCCTCGGTTGGTATGGGATGGGGGAGCCTCTAGCCCCTGTGGAGATGAGAGGGCAGGGCCCACCTGGGTTGACCTCCTATCCCCACCCCCCAGGTCTGGCTGCCTTGCTCTCTGTCCTATTTCCTAGCTCTATCCCGATGGTAGCTAGTGCCTCAACAGTCCTCCCACCCCCATACTACCTACCTCAATGCTCAGCTGGGTGGTGGAGAGGATGAACCAGGACCCTCACCTGGCCAAGCCCCACAGCTTCTCTGGGCCTCACATGAGGGGCGGGCTTCTTTAACCCTGGCTGTGAAATTAGACTCTTCTTTACTAAATTTGATTTTAATAAAACCTTACAGCTGATTGTGATGTGGGACTCTCCAGGTTAGATGATCTTTAAAATTCCATGATTTTCTGGTTCCCAACAGCACTGAAACTAACATCAAGTCCAGCCTCTTCTAGAATCTCTCTGTATACCTCAGCCCATCTGGTTCTGTAAAGAAGCCAGGCAAGTCTTAATAGTGTCCATTTCCTAAGTGGGGAAATGGAGTCAGAGTGGTTAAGTGACTTGCCTAAGGTCACACAGCTGATAAGTGGGATTTAGACCCAGCTTGTCAGACTGCAAAGCTGGCCTCTCCATTTCATGGAAGGGGGTGTTGGAGGTGGCCCTGGGCCCTCATTCACAGGCTAGTCCAGATAAGGCTCAATTTGTCAGCTGATGGCGGATGGCTACCTGGCATTGTCAGACCAGCCTCCAGCCTGGCTGGGCGTTCTCAGTAGTTCCTGGGCATGGGAAACACAGGCCCTTCTTCCTTCAGGGAATCACATCCAAACCCTTTAACCTGTTCTTTAAGGTCCTTTGTGATGTGGGCCCAAATTTCCTTTCCTGTCTCACCTCTCTCTGTCTCTCCCCATGAACGCTGTGCTCTAGATGCATCTGGCATTGGTTCGTTGCAACCTGGCGTTAGAACACACGTGTATGCTCCCATCTTCTACACTAAGCTGCTTGAGTCTCTGTGTGTTCCCAGCCCTAGCCAGTGCCTGGGCCCTGGGAGGGTTCACAAAACCCTGCACATTAGGTTATGCTTCTGTGGCTGGCTGAATAATGCTGTGTCCCCCCACCCTGCCCCAATACCCATATCCTAATCCCCCAAACCTGTGAATATGTTACTTTATGTGGTGAAAGAGACTACTGGTGAGATCAAGACAAGGATCATGAGGTGGGAGATTATCCTGCTTATCCAGGCGGGCCCAATATAATCACAGGGTTCTGATAGGAGGGTGACAAGAAGGTCAAAGTACGAAGTAGACCTGGTGATAGCAGCAAGAGTTTGGAGTAATGTGAGGAAGACGTCAATGTATTTAGGATAATAAGAAAAATTCTCCTTCACTTTTGCTTGGTGATTTCTAGTTTCCAAAGTATTTTTTCTTATGCCTTGTACATGATCACGAAATACAGTTAGGACCTTATGGCCCTCATTCCCAGCCCAACCGAAGAAAACATGAGCCACATAAAACGCCTGTAAAGCCTTCCTCAACTTGGAAACAAATGTAAGCTGTGTCCTGTTTTATTCACACCTTATGATTAGGCCTTGTTTCTCATCGTGTGTTTTCACGAACACATGCACGTTTCATATACCAATTACTTGTCATTCCCCAAAGAGCTTTTACTTTTACAGTTTCTTTTACTTTCCTTCACTTGAAAAATATATGCCTATTGTCTAAAGTTCAAAACCAGGGTAAAAATCAACAAAACAATGCCCAGAATCCCACTATCCAGAAGCCGTCACTTTTTACATCTCGGTAGATTTCTCTTTCGTTTTTTTTTGGCCTGTGCTTTAAAGGTGTGTATAGTTGTGTCATATATGTATGTTGCTTAAATTAATTAAAATTATATCACAAGCTTTTCCAAGGGCTTAAAAAGTCCTCATAAGAGTACTTTTTAATGGCTATAATACTACGTGATATGTACCATAATTTATTTCAACATCAGTCAATGACTGGATTGTTAGATTGTTTATAATAACACTTTGAAGAGTATCTTTGAGCATAAACTTTCACCCGCTTTTCAGATTATTTTCATAGGATAGATTCCCAGAAGTGGAATTACTGAATCAAAGGGTATAAACATTTTAAAGACCCTTGACACATATTGCCAAATTGCTTTCTAGAAATTAATCCAATTTACACTCTCACCAGCTGTGTTCATACATGCATGTTCCTCTTACTACATCCTGGCCAACCCTGAATATTATCATTATTTTTAACTAAAAGTATCTCCCTGCTGTTTTATTTGTATTTCTTTGATTGCGAGGGTGAATATTTTTTTGCACGTGTTATTAGCTTTATTTTACTCTGATTTTTAGGGAATTGCCCACTTCCTTTTGCCAATTTATCTGTTAGGGTATTCATGTTTTCCTATTGAATTGTACGACATTATTAATAAGGATGTGAAACTATTTATTACATGCTTCACATTTTCCCCCAGTATTTTACGTGTATTTTCATTCTGTTTATAATGATATCTAGGAGCTTAAAATTTGTACGTAATCTAAACCTATCCATATTTTCCTTGGTGATTTCTTCTTCTTCTTTTGCACCTTAGAGAATTTATTCCATGTGGGGTTGGTAGGTAATGTGTGGGTCGCCTTTCATAGTCCTTGGTTTGCTCTCTCATTGCTAAGGTTGCCCTCTCATCAGAGAACGTCTTCCACCAACTCCTCCTCTTTCAGCAATGGGGATACAGATCTCACCCCCTCATCTGTGACATTTTCATGGATTCTCCCATTCTCTCCCCATCCATGGACTGTCCTTTCCCCTGGGATACCATAGCACATTACTTCTTCTTGCATTTAACTTGGCAGACATTCTGCTGTTACATTATAACCAGCCGTTTGCATGCCTGTCTTCCTCACCAAACTCTAAGTGACTTGAAGGAAGGGATCAAGTCTTATCTCCATGAATCTATAACAGCACCTTGTATAGAGGTCTCCCCACCCCAATATTTGGGACTTGAACTTATCCATTGAAGCTATCATCATGCCCATTTTATAGTTGAGAATACAAAGGCTCTGAGTGGTTACATGGATTGCTGGAGAGATTGGTGGAAACCCACATTTTCACATCTTGTTCTCTATCCTTTGTACCGTGTCTGTCTTTGGGGTCCCCCCTCCCCAGGTGATGAGTGTCCTCAGGAGTGGTGACAATGGGTATGAAAGGGCAGGGAGTCAGTATCCCTGCCCTTTACTCCCAAACCTGGACAAAGAAGGGGTCCAGTCGTGGGAGGGGTGTGCCGCTTCCACTCTCTGGATGCCCCAGTGTTTATCCCCAGGACCTCTCTGTTGCACAGCCACAGCCCAGAGAAGCCAGCCCCTTAGGCCCTGCTTCTACCTGCCCCTCCCTACCTCCTCTCCCTGGCTGGAGACGTACAGCCTCCTCCATACCACAGGGAACTTTATGCTTGTGAGAGATTCAATTAGATGGATGCCTAGTACTCTGATCTCTTCTACCAGACCAAACTCAAAACTAATGAAGCACAACAAAAAAAAAACTGCTCTGTCTTCTCCAGTTCTTTTTTTAATGGCCCCATAAATTCCAAGGAGGAAAGTACCCTTGGTGAATGGCTTTAATCAAGGGCCTGAGTTTCTGAAACAGCATCCTTTCTGTGGTTGTGAAATGATTGTTCTGGCTTGTGGAATAGGGTAACCTGAGGCCCTGGATGGTCACAACCTGCTCCAATGCAGCAAGGAAGGGGTGGAGCTTAGACAAGAAGATCCAGCACCCACTTTCTGCTGGCACATCCCGATGCCTTCCAGCCACGAGTGCCCGTGATTCCTGGAAACCACTGAAATACCAAACGCCCTAATCACAGCAAGATTAGCGAGAGCTAAGATCAAGCCACTCTGGGGAGAACTCTTGCCTGGGGATCTTTTGTTAGCAAGGGTCTTCTGCATGGAAATTTATTTATTACCTTTGAAAAGGTAGTTCTTCCCAGAATAACAATATAAGTCACTGGGGGTAGTAAACTGTCACCATTCCTTACCTTTGTATAGCATTGTAAGAGCTTACAATGTGCTTTCCTAATCCTTCTCTCTTTGAACCTCATAAAAAACTGGTAGAATAGTTATTATTATTCCCATTTGATTAATCAGAAGACTGAGGACTCAAGAGA